GTAAAACACCATTTTACGGCATCGCCCGGAATCGTGTAAGTCACAAAACGTTTTCAATAATGAGACAGAATTAGTGATTCACCGCATTTATCAATACAATGGGTGTGAGCGCGGGCAAGTAAGGAATCAGAAACTTACAAATTCACGCATGCAAAAAAGCTGCTCCAATCGCGCGTTCTTCCATACCGTAGTTGTTTTCGCTGCGGGTGCGCCAGCCTGCCGCGCGATGTCGCGTTGCGAAGAGCGAAAAAGTCGCGTTCTGTCCTAAGTACCCACACCCGCTAATCAACGAGAACAAATGAATAACTATGTACAATACCAAATCTCATCGCATGACAGGATGATTTTCTAATGAATTAAACACTTACCGTGATAGTGTTGTTGGGAATAAAAGCAGTAGAACTGGAGGAGTGAAAGGGTGCAGTAGATGAGGTTGTATATGTCGACGTTTGGTACGATGATGGATGAAAAGACATCGCCTGCAAATCGTAATCGTCTTCATTCAACAAACTAATTTTGCCATGTTTCGAATTACATTAGTTTTTACAAGCTGGAAGCGCGCAACATGATAGCACAGTATGGAAAAAATACTTATAGACTTCCGGTCTTTCTTTTCTAACGTCAACTTTCTCTAACGATTCCCAATAAAACTTAAAGTCGTACTAGCATGTCACAAATGCACGCGTCTTTCAATCTAATGCACTTCTCAGACTGCATTCATACGGGTGTGGTTCACTAGGACAGAAAGCGATTTTTTCGCGTTTCGCAGCGCGAAACATTTTCCGCTGCGGGAACCTCAGGTCCACCGCTGATCATGAGTGGACCTGGAGTTCCCTGCAGCGAAAAATGTTTCAGGCGCGAAACGCGATAAAGTCGCTTTCTGTCCTAGTGAACCACACCCCATTCATGCATTGCGAACTTTTGGCATAATCACAAATGCGTATGGGCGTATTCTAGCTGCGTCGCAGAAGAAACGCGTGTTCTTGCTACGATAGCTTTTTCAAGGCTGTACTCTTTTGATATTCGAGAATGAAGAATGTGAAAATCATAGTTGTAAGGCAAGACAATCTCCAATAAATTGTTAAGACTGCTACTATTGATTTACTGTGAAAGTTGCTAAGGATCTGAGACGTTAGGAAAAAAAAACTAACAAAGCTAATGTCTGATACGGAGCTTAAAAATTCATATTCACGAGAATTAGAATATAACCATTAACACATTGGCGACCAAGCAATTTTTGGGTGTTCCCGAAAATTGCGTCCTAATGCTGAAACGCTTCCATACGGTGTACATACCAAATCAATGAGAACACAATGCGGAAACTGCTGAAACATCATTTGTCTCGTACAAATGCTTAATGGCTGCAAACCAAGCAAAAATCTCCCCGTCCCGCAAAGGTGAAACTTCGGAACGCTCTCGGAAAATTCCAATTTTCCACTGTAGAATCCACAAATGAGGTTGAACACAAATCTTTTTTGCCAATTGTTGTATCATTGAGCTAGCTAATAGCATACAAAAAGGCAGCTTTCTACATCAAGAAAGAACAACCTTATCACTGAAGAAGCAATTCCAAGCAACCCTTCTGTAAAACTTTCACTGTGAAAGATGTTCAAAGAACGTGGCCATTACAAGTTTGACAACGTATTCCGGGTTAATATAGCACCGCTCAAAATTTGGAATATGCGCAAAGGAATAAAATTCAAGGGGTGTCGCCCGGCATCGGGCGACATTGTCGCCAATGTGTTGAACACATCTTTCATATCACAATAATGAAGCATTACGATAAATTTCCCCACCTGCTGCCCCTGAGGAGCTCGAGGATCCGTCGTGTAGGTTGTGTACGTTAAATTCTGGTTCATCTGAAAAGAAGAACTTTCGATTGAGGGCCTCTATAAAAGACAGAATCACAAGCCCGCATAATGAAAAGGAACGCATAGGAGCAAACGTTTCGGAAGAAATACCAAGCGAAGTCACATCGCTCAGACCTGAGTATTCATATAGATGTAACATTACCACAACTTTCTATTCATATCTCGCAATGATTTTGTCAATGGTTTCACATTAGCATGATACATCCTTTGCATATGTTTATCGTGATCGCTTCATCGATTTAGTCGACCCATGCTGTCCACCATCTCATAGTAATCTATCTTAAGCAAAGAGCATCACACACATTTGCCTTGTACTGCTTTCCGTGTATATTGACAAACAGACTTTGAGACAGAGAAATTAGAAAATTAATACCAGTCATTACCATCGACACCCTTCTTGTTCCCTAACACGCATGACCATATCCCGTCGAATTCATACCAGTCTATTTGAAACATTCCAAAACACTCCACGGGTGTGGGTACTTAGGACAGAACGCGACTTTTTCGCTCTTCGCAACGCGACATCGCGCGGCAGGCTGGCGCACCCGCAGCGAAAACAACTACGGTATGGAAGAACGCGCGATTGGAGCAGCTTTTTTTGCATGCGTGAATTTGTAAGTTTCTGATTCCTTTCTTGCCCGCGCTCACACCCATTGTATTGATAACTGCAGTGAATCACTAATTCTGTCTGTTTCACTCCCCTCCCCTAAGCTTAGTCGTAGGCGCTGTAGGTGAGAAAGCTTAGAAAAGCAGAAAGTATGCGTTAAACAGCACGAATGTGAAAAATGAGTGTCATATTCATGATCAGGGCCCCAAATAACCCCTATGCAGAAGTTTACAGTCGTCTCATCAAACGTCCATCAACCATTCCTCTTCCAGGTTCTCCAGAAGCTCTACCATCCATCTCTGCAAAAATAACCTACCTCCCTCTTCACTGCTAGTTAGCGGTCCACTTCTGGTTACCATTTCCTCGTTCATTATCAAATCCATGGCTATTAAGCTTCAAACTCCTTGTCGCAATCAAAGCCGACACAAATATCGCGCTCCAATCGCGCGTTCTTCCATACCGTAGTTGTTTTCGCTGCGGGTGCGCCAGCCTGCCGCGCGATGTCGCGTTGCGAAGAGCGAAAAAGTCGCGTTCTGTCCTAAGTACCCACACCCAACTCCACTTTTCAGCCATTCATACACATTCTTCATAAGGATTGCATTTTGCATTTCATTGAAAAGAACTGGGGGATAACAGACAAAGAATAGTTAACATCTTCCAAAACAATAGCAGACTCAGTAATCGGTCTTCTCTCGCACTCGAACTTATCTACGCTTTTTCACAACTATTACAACCCTGCAACATCATAATTTTACAGCTACTGCGAGCCGCGTTATGATATTTTCCCCCTTCAAAATGATTGCTAAAAAACTGCTTTTATTTGAAAAACTATACTTC